AGGGTTGAGGCTTCACTCACTTGAATCAAGAAGACTACATATTGTTGGCTAGAATAGTGAGAGGAGACAAAATCAACATAGGAGCATTGATTTATAGTGAAATGAGAAATTTTTGCCTCGGGAAATCACCATCAACTCCTATCCCATATCCCCAGCTCGTCTCCTACTTTCTCAGCAAGTATGGCATCCAACATCTTGAGCCCGGAGACAAGCAAGAAAAGATTCTCATGTTTGGTATAGGCCATCTGAACAGGATGCACATCCGTCTCCCTTTCTCAGCAAGTATGCTATTTTTCATATTTTTTATCAAAAAAATAAAAATAAACCAATGAAATTATTAATAAAAGACATAAATATGAATAAAATTAAATCACAGATACAAAATATCATCATATATAAATATCCATCAACATCCAAGAACATCTAAAACATTCATTAACAAAATAACAACATCTAACAGTTTTATCTATAGTGAAATTGTGCAATAAATTAATACTATCATTAATCTTTTGAAACTTCATCATCACTATAACCAATTAGTTTGCTTTATAAGTATGCTTTTCTTTCATAACAAAAATATCAAGTTTTTCTTCTTTATAGGAATTTTACTTTTAAATTTTATAATCTAGCTATTATTTTACTTTAATGTGAGAAACATTGTTGTTGAAACTCATGAATCTCCAATTCAAATTATAGAATCACAAGTTATATAAGTATAAAAATACTTTATTATCAAATATATATATAGTTTCAAAATATCAACGCATACAATATAAATCAAATCATTATTAAAGTCCAAATTAAACCATTTTTTAAAAATCTAATTGGTTAAATTATTATCTAAAACTAAATAAATCAAATCATTCTGTAAAATTTAATTTTAAAATGATAATAATAACTAAATACTTGAAATATTAAATAAATCAAATCATTCAGAAATTCTTAATTAGGCCTTATGGATTAATTAGGAATTTGTTAAAAGTGTAAACCTAAATTTAAATTTAGATACTTCGGCTTGACTTAGTTGGCATTCTCCCTTAATTTTTCCCTCTCCTCTCATCTCCTCCATTTCTCTCCTACCAAATGTAAGTGTCTAGAGGCCTAACTTGGGAATCCTAATGTTTGATGTGCCTTTTGTACTTACTTAAAGTTTAAATGCAGCATTTTAATTATACTTAATAAATGGAAACAAATTGGTTTTTCAATCCACACAGCACTCGGTTCTACAAGCACATTTTATCTGTCTTCACAATAATTAAGTTTGATATATGATCATTCTTTAAAGGAATGTAATTATTTTTTTCTCAAAAAAGATTGAAATTCATACAAACAAAAGAGGGGAGGAAAAAGTAAATGGAAACACTAAAAAATACAATTTGAAGAATTCATGAGAACATCAGACTTAATCCAAGCCAGAGGAGCAAGAATTTTCATGTAAAAATAAAATGCATAACTTGAGACTTATTTGCCAGCTATAATACTATCTTCAATTTTAATTATAAAACCTCATTTATAACTTATAAACAAAGTCTTATTATTAGAAACTGAGGTAGTAACAAGAACTCAACAAATCCAAGCATGGTGGTACAATCGCTCTGCTGAAGAAGTGGCTAGCACGGAGCAGAGAAATGGGAATGGGAAGATGACCGCCCGAGAGAAGTGTTAGGATGAGAATGGGGTGTCACAGCTCCCACCCAAATATTCGAATAGAGAGCGCCTCAGTGATGTTCACATCGTTTGCTCCGTCAATGTCCTTCTGGCATCGTTTAACGATGGGGATCAATCTCACCAATGGCTTAAACTAAAAGGAGTGCATTAATTAAAAAAAAAAAATTGGTGTAAGAACTCATTATAACTATAAGAACTGGAGATTTAGAGCTTGTTTGTTTATGTTTCCTGTTTTCTTGTTCGTAAAACAATTTTATAAATTTTTTAAAACAAATTTTGAGACCAAAAAAAGTGTTTGGATAATTACTTTAAAAAAATCACATTTAAAGCAAAAAAAAAAAAACACACACACACACACTTAACAAGTAGTGGTCATCACTAGCATTGATACATGGCGAGCGATGGATGAGACGAAAAGAATATTTCTCCAATTTTTCAAAACAAAAAGTATAAGATACAAAAAAAAATCAAAAAATTGTTGTGATTTTTTTATTTTTCCGAAAACGTATTGTGGTTTTTTTTAAAAAAACTAATTAAAAATAAATTATCAAATAATTCTTTTTTTTTTTACAAACAAAAAATTATTTTCAAAATAAAAAAACTAAATGAGCCCTTAATTTTCTTCTCTTCACAATTTGTTCGCTATGCTATACGACTATTTACTCCTTAAAGCCCAGACACGGAAGACAGAAGCACAGTGTTACAAAAGTCCAAAAGCACAAGATCTTAGGATTGTCCTCGCTATTTGTTGCCCAAAAACATGAAACAACACCAAATATGAATACGGATGTTGCCCATATAATGCGGAGACATCTCCAGCATTAACCGGTCCAATAAAAGTCAAAAAGAATATATAAATAGTCTATAAAAAGAAAAAAGAATATATAAATACATTTTAATTAGTCAAAATGTCTATGTGCTTGTCTGAAATGGCGATAAGGCCCTTCAAAAGTAGTTTTCAGTTGTGATCAAGGTTCTGAAAACCAAACTAGTCTAGGTAGAGAGAGAAGGATTAGTACGTTCAATTCGAGAGTTAAACTGATGAGAAATAAAAAAATATAAAAATTAATTTAAATTCTCATCATACCATCCAAAATACTAAATGTCAATTCAATAAGTAGAATCACTAACAAAATAATCATATATTTATATTTTTTTTAATTTTCTCTATAATTCCCTTGACAAATTGATATCATAATATTATACTACTAAAATTACTAAATATTCATCCTAGTAAAATGTCCAAATAGATTTATAGTAACAAAATAGTCCTAGCTACAATCCTTTAATGACTAAACTAAGAATTATGAATAGCTAAAAAGAAAGAAAATGAAGTAATTTTTTTACATGAAAACAACTTAAAATAAAAACATAAAAAAAAAATACAAGTGGGCTAACCCACCAAACTGATTGGGTTGAGTGGCTTACACCACGTCACCTTGAGTCGACTCTGCTATTGAGTTTTTGCCATCGACCTGATTGGCTAGGTAACCATTTGATTAGTTTTCAGTCCAATTCAGTCGATCAGTCCTTTTTTTAATTCAATTGTTGTGATTTACATAATATATAAGATAAGCACATAAGGCGAGTTTTATTTCAACTTAGATAGATAGTACTCCTCCGATCTTAAATACAAGACCCTTATAAAAGTCTTATATTTAGGACAGGAGGAGTATTTAATATAACAGCTCCAAGCAAGCTCTGTATCAATCACAGGTTTCCATAATATCAATGATAAGATGGACGTAAACTGATTTTTAGCCTGGCATTGATTTTAAGGAAAAATGTTGGGAAGCACGTGCGCGCGTATCCCACAAATTGACAAAAATGGATGTGGAGCAGCGAACGGTCAACCAATGCATGTGACAAAAATGGAGCTGCGAACAATTTCAAGTGGATCATCTCACCCAATTTGCCCTTCGGCTTATCTTAAAAGCATTGTCTTTCACTTGTCAAGTGAATTTTTTATATAAAAATATATTTAGCATCTTTATTTTATCTTTTTAAATATATTTAATATTTTAATTTTTCTTATAGTATATTCAACACTTTAATATTATTTTTCTAGTGCATTTAACACTTCGATATTATTTTTTTAGTTACATTTAAGACCTTAATTTTTAGATTATTAGATGCATTAAAAAATAATATTAGGATACTTAATGTAAAAAAAAAAAAAAATCAAGGTGCTGAAAATATCATAAAAAAAGGACCAGGGTGTTGGATTCACCTGAAAAATAAAATTATATGCTGGATATACTTTTATCCTTTTTATTTTATTTATAACCACTTAAATCTTAATCTCAAATCATACAAACATCAATATAGATTTTATAATTTTTATGCAGTGATAATGAAAGAAAAATAGGCCATCGTCTCCCCCACTTTTCAGGAAAAAATATTTTATTTGAAGGTTCACGGTAAAAGCGACAGAAAATAATTGTTAGCTATTTTAACTGTAAGACATTTGTTTTCATTATTTCAACAGAATTAGCTACTGGCCATTGATTCCCAATAACAATGACGACTCATTCATTTCATCCAATGTTGACTATTGTTAGACAAAGATGGAGAGAAGGGTGGCTCACAAAGGCCGAGTTTTGACTGAACATAAATGGGATGGCCTTTCATTATCCTATGAATATGACCCCTCAATATACAATTAAGAAGTGTTTTTGGTAAAAATAAAACTATGGTGTTAAAAATAATTTTACAGTATACGAAATAAATAGTAAAAGAAATTTTATTTTGATTTGCATAAAAACACATTTTAAAAGTATTTTTTTAGGTAAATCAAACACCTCTTAACCAAAGTAGACCAAAGAGAAATCCACAAATATCATCTTTGTCATTTTTTCCGGACACAGACGTTACCTGATCACTAATTCACCTGCAATGACCCCAGATGCAGAGGCCTCTTTAAATTTCAGAATTTAAAGGTTTCTAAACATATTTATTTGAACTTGTTTCTTTTAAACACGTATATTTTTGGTAAACAATTTTCAAACACATTATTTTTTTTCATATATGGTAAAAGTGACACAATTTTAGTAGCTATTTATCCAAAATAAAGTAATAATGAATTTAATTAGTAATATGTTTCAAATGTCATATATTTGTGATCCTTCTCTATAAATTTTTAATATAATATAAAAAAAAATTTTACTTCTTGGAATTATCATTTAATGTTTTTGACATATTGGGACAACTCAATGTTGATTAGCGCCCTAGTTCGAAAGTTAACTAATGTTGGATACAAATTCATCTGATAAAAATCATTCTTTGCTAGATTCACTATCTCTCTGGGTGAGGTGACAGTGATAGTGGCAGCGATGGTGGTTGTAATAGTTGTAGCAGTGGTGATGACGGCGGTGAATGTGGTGGTTGCTTGGAGGGTGGTGGTAACATCAGTGATGGTAGTTGTGATGGTTGTAGCAGCGATGGTGATGGTGACAGTGAATGTGGTGGCTGCCGGGCACGAAGGCTTTGGCTTTTGCGATAGTGGTGACAGGGGGGAGGTGATGGCTGCGATGGTTGTGATATTTGTGGTGGCAGCAGCGATGACAGTGGCAATGGTTGTGGTAAATACTGCAGGGGTAGCAACAGCAGTTGTAGTGATGGTGGCGATAGTTGTGGCGGCGGCAATAGGGGTGGTTGTGGCAGCGGTGGTGGCAACGAGAGTAGTGAGTGAAATATGATAATAGGAAAAAAGACAAGTGAGACTAAAAGTTGAATTGGACTTTTTCAAACGTGCAATAGATGATAATAAGGATTCATAGGGGGGTATGTATGGGGATTACCAACTTTTTGATAATCATCATTACTATGGTAAAACCTATTCTCATACTAAAGAGCAACCAAACACTTTCTTTTTTGATAATACAATCATGATAACCATTGCTGTTGAGAAAACTGGAGGTGTGTCACCAAACACTGTCCTTAAGAGTTATTCCTCCACCGTAGGTAAACGTGAGTGCGGCACTCCCCAGGATTAAACGAACCCTTCTTGTAGAAAACAGGGTGACAGAACAACAGAAAAATATAACCTAGCACCACAGAAACACAGAGAGGGAAGAGGAGAAACGCAGAGGAGGAATAGATGCTCAAAAGCTCAAGAGCGAGGTGCAGAACACACTGTCCTGGACTGCTTTATATAGACCTCAAGGACCTAACCGTTGGGTACCATCATAAACACAATTAACTTGTCAGTTTCATATGTTACTACATTAATCTGTAATTATACCGTCGGTTATGAACGTTGGGTACATTTAAGAAATAAATTTTAGACGTTACCAGACATTAATCCATGAGAAACGGTTTAAGAATTAATGGAGGATTAATCACGGTTTGAAAACTCCCAACATTCAGTAACCTTCGGCTGTTACAAAAATAAACAGTCAAAAGAAGGATTTTCTGATAAGCTCTCTTAACACCATTTTATAATTTAATTTTGCAAAAGTGATTTACAAAAGGTGCCCGGTACTGTTCTAATTCGCGTGCAAGGGGGAATCGCCAGTTTTCAACTGCGTTTCCCTCCTGGTGGACTGTTGTTGTGTGCGTGAGACCCTCCTTCTCCTCTAGCCCATTCACTAGCCCAATAATGTGTGATAGTATTTATACACTTGAGTTCCCTCTCTCTTAGGCAATGTGGGACTTCACTTTTGACACACCCCTTTACATACACAACAATTGCAACCATGTAATGGGATTGTACCAAACAAGTTCTTAATCTTTGGTTTACATTGAGTGTTTTGCAGGCTTCATCTTTTGGTCACTCAATCGATAACCATAGTCATCTAGAACTCTCTGCCTCTCATCTCATACGCTCTCTCGATTTCACCTACTGTCACTCTCTTCACTTTCCCTCTCATCACCACCAATCCCATTCTTTTCTCGATTTCTCATCCATCTTTCCTTTACCATCACTTTCCCTACTGCTAGATCTCATCACCACCATTGATCACTCTATCATCATCCCCATGTTCTCCGTACAATGAAGCAGCCATGGTTGACTCATCTTCTTCATTCAGTGGGGCTTGTTCCACATCTATGAGCAGCTGAGCCTCCCTTCCTTCCTAAGAGATATAATTGGATTGAAGCCAGTGCGCCAACAAGGGAGTTTATCTTCGATTTTAATTTCATGGTTGATAGTCCGATTGTACTCTTGACTATGATCTTGTATTGAAATTGTATTGTTTTTGTACTCAGATTTCATATGATGAATTCGAAGGTATATTCCTTGATCATGAATCAGTTTAGTTGGATCCTTCGGCCATGTTTGACTTAGGTTCGCAATTTAGTTTAATGACATGTGATAGTTATTGGTTGAGATGCCATCTTTGAAATTTTTAGTTTGTCCGATTATACTCTGATGCATAACATTTTCTGAAGAGCAATTAACTCCATTATTTCATTAGACTATGAAGGTTAGGTTATATTTCTTGGGAAGACCTCATCTATATCATCTGCATTCCCATAAATCAGGAAACAACACAAACAATTTTAGGTTAATTAGTTGGATAATAATAACTATTTTCTTTCACTATTAATGTGCTCTTGACACTTGATTATTTAAAGTTCTGAGTTCAACTTAGAATTGAGCTACTATATTATAGAGTTTAGTTCCTTTTTAGAGCTTCTATAACATGGCTTTTCACTCAGTCTCTTCGTGTGTTCCACCTCATTTGACTGGGTTTATTTCATCTGTTTATTATGGAGTAAAAGGAGGTGGACTCACGAAGGCACATGATTATTCTAGGATTCAGTAGCCTCACAATGGGGGCCAAATTAAAATTTTTTTTTTTTTGCTAGAGGGCCTAATTACAATTAAAGACTTCAAATTTTGGAAATTCCCAAACAGAAAAACAAAATTACCATTTGGAATTCCAATTTTTTGGGTTAATCTTATCAGTACTCATGTTAGATCTTCTTAGTACTCAAATTTTCTTGAATTTCATTTAATGTGCTCTTGACACTTGATTATTTAAAGTCTTTAAATTTTCTGTTTCCGTTCTGTGTTATGTGGTAACCTGTAGATGAAATTGGTTTTTTGGGTTATATAGTTTTTCATCTCTTTGTGGGCATTTTTATTGAAACTCTTCTATGAACTATTCCATATTTTATATTGAACCATAATGATCAATTAGGATACAATTCTTCTCCTCTCCTACCTTTCTTGCCATCTCTGTTTTCTCTGTAATGCTTCTTCATCATATTCATCCATCATTTGATTCTTTTCTTACATTCACCCAAATCGACCAGAGGTTTTAGCCTCCTAGAGACACACTAAAATATATCGAACGCAAGCATAAATGAACATAAACCACCTTGTTTAGGACTCAAACAGAGGCTTTTCCCCAAACATAAAAGCTTTATGTTTTGAGCCTCGTACCTCGTTGTTCACGTATATGAACAAACCCTTCTCAGCAATATTGAGGATAAATGGTAACAAGTCAAAGCAAGAAGGTCTTATAACATGGAAAAGAAATATACTCGCGAACTAATTGTCTGATAGAGAAAGCAAATATAAGCTATAACTCATAGGTCTTCGAGGGGATGGGGCCTAGAAACCTGTGGTGTTTGCAGAATCGGTGTTGCCTTCGATAATTGCATCCCACTTAGCCTTCAAATATGATACTACCCTCTTCCCTATATCCCACAACTTTTTGTAGCCAAAGTATATGGACAGTGATATCCCATAGGCAATGAAGAGATATAACTTAAGATCATGTCGAACCAGAAGCGATATAAGTGCTATGCAAGCACAAGAACCTGAGATAACATTTAATGTAAAGACATGGATCGATACGCAAATGATACCAGTCCATAAAATAGCTGGATGTTCATGAAAAGGCGATGCATCTGGAAAGTTCAATCCAGTAAAAAGGGCTAATATTCTAATGAGTTTTAGAAATTTACTTTGTCGAGGAATAGCCTTGCATATATAAGATAAGAAATTAGCTAAATAAATGTTCAAAACACTACTTACTCCCTAAAATGCACGCCTCTTAACAATTAATTAATGATTGAGATTAGGGATTAAAGAGTTTAAGCAGTTATTAAAGAAGAAATAATTGGGAAAGAATATAATGACTTTGGGATATCATCAACCAATAGATAGTATTTCTTAACATGCATGTGAGTTAGTTGAAAACATGGTGTCATAATGAACAGAGTGCTTAACATTTTTAAAATTCTGCTTGTTTTAAATGAATATCCAAATGAAAAAATCTTCCAAAATATAGTACGTATTAACTACCCAGCATTTTAATTGAAGAATTGGCTGTAAATATGAAGCTATGTAAGATTAGTTGTATATATAATAAAAGACTTCTTGTGTATAGAATGAAATTCATAATCCAGATGTGAAAATGTCAAATTACTCAACCCCTCATCTATTAGTGAACCCCATATAAAAGGAATTCCAATAAGTGTTCATATTGCTGGTTCAACTTATATCTTCTAAAAAGTAGATCCCGCTGCGGAGTAAGAAGGAAAGAGACATTCTATTTTGGCCCAGGACTACGAGATGATTGAAAAAGGAAGTCAATATTATTGAAAGGTCCCCGGATCAGAATCGACCCGTTACAGTTTACGGAATATGAAAATCATGAAACAGCGAAAATTGTAACTAAAAAAAAAACGGGGGATCATGGAAATTATGATGTGGATACATAGACAGAAATGGAACAACCAATGAAAGAACCAACACGAAGATGTGATACTGATACACACACACACACACACACACAGAGGATTCATGGAAATGGAAGAAGCTAAGCTACATGAAAGGTTCATATATAAATCCTAAGATAAATAACAAAATCACAGGCCATCGTTTAACAGTGCCGTGCAACATGTTCTGCTGCTGCGAAACAGGAAGCAGAGTAAGGCAACAGAACCAAAAAGAAAATTGAGGAGAATCTTATATCAGTATATTCAACTCAATCATTCCTGAAAACATACGTCAGAATCCTTCAAATTTTGGCTATGAGCTGTGCTGCTTGACCAGAACAAGAATGTAGCCAAAAGGACAAAAAACAGAGCATGTAAGAAGTAGTAAGAAACAAGAACCTCCAGAGATTGTCAATGGTTGGAAAGGAAGGCATATTGATATTGAGATGCTGTATTACTCTTCTTCCTTCTTGCTCCCAAGCCGGAGGATTTGGCTTCTCAGCTCTTGTTGGCCTTGTCCAGTTCGCAACTTTGACAACATCAATCACCAAGGAGTAAGATCTTTGTCGTGGAAAGCGACAGAATCAGTATTGCCATTTAATTGCAATATTGCCATCGCTTTTGCTGGGTAATTGCAATATTGCTACTGCTGCGATTCCAGTCACTTTCGTGGGGTGCAACACCATCAACGACCAAAGGGTAAAATCTTTGAAATTGCAATATTGCCATTGCTGGGATCCCCATCACTGTCGTGGGAAGCGACACCATATCTTTGACTTCGAATTGCGAAAAATTGCAATATTGCCATGGCCATTGCGATTTGTCTTGATGGTGCTGACTGCTAACTTATTGTCTTCACCTTCTTGATGAAATGTCATTTGGTGATTCTCTTGAGAGTTATTCACATAATTTTTTCCATAGAGAGAAAACCAGGGAAGATTTAATTTCAGGGAATATATTAGTCAGAGGATCTAAAATGTTAGAAACATTAATCATTTTTAAATAATTTGGTCAAAAGACGCAA